CCCCCCCCCCCCCCCCCCGGTGCGGCAAATAGCCCCCCGGTGGTGAGGAGGCAAAATCTGGGAAGCCAGCTGCTGCAGCAGGAAGGCCTGGTGAGGCCATGTGGTGGCTGCCCCCCCTCCCCTCCTGCTCAACTGGGGTCGCTCAAGTCCTCCCGCAGCTCTCTGAGCCCTCCAGAGTGAGCCGCTGCTGCTGCTATTGTGGAGTCACTGTGTGGATGGAACTGCCGGTGGCAACAGTGGGTGAAGTGCTTCCTATCTAGGCAAGGCTGTGCGGGCAAGAGGCAGGAGGCCAGGACTTGTGGCAGTGGTGGGGCTTAGAGGGCAACCTCTGCTGCCTCCATGCTGCCTGGCCAGTCTCCTGTGGAACCAGCTAAAATCCTGGAAGCACACACACAGGGCGAGCAAGAGATGTGCTCCACATTGCACAGTTGAATGCCAGGAGAGGAGAGGAGAGGTGTGGCAAGGAAAAACTGCTGGGGACACTGGGGGTGATGCTCTAGTTTTTGGGCAAAGCTCTACGGGAGATGCTGATTTCTATCATAGAGTTTTGCCCCCAAACCAGAGCGTCACCCTCCGGCATCACCAACATGGTCACGTCACTTCCAAATTACCTAGGCATGTTGGGTTTAGTTTTGGCATTCCTCCTCGCTCCTGGTATTTGCTGCCCTGACAGAAAATTTCTGGCTACAGACCTGGTTTCTGGCACAGCAAGCCTCTGTTTAATCTGTATTTCTAATCTATGTTGCGCAGCTGTAATGTTGTGCAACCAGCAGTCCAAACCAGGAGCTGTGCATTCGCTTCCCCAGAGCATCAGAAGAGAATAAAACGAGCTCTGCTGGATCAGACCATGGTCCGGTGTCCTTCCCACAGTGGCCAACTAGAAGTACCTGGGAGACCCACAAGCAGGGTCTCCTCTTCCACTCACTGCCCCCCCCAAACACCTAGTATTCAGAGGAACACTGTCTCCAAACATGGAGTGTCCATTTAACCCTCGTGGCTAATTCATCTTCTATGATTTTGTCTAATCCCTCTTTCAAGCCACCCAAAGTAGTGGCCATCACCACATCCCTGTCCTTATTTATCACACTCCCTATTTGGTGATGCAACTGGATGGTAAATTAATGTTCCTATCATTTTGCTTTGGGGGGGGGGTTGGGGTGTGTGTAAAGAATGTGCTTTCATACTATTGCATCTGTCCATAAAAGTGCATGCACATTAAGAACATAAGAGACGCCAATGTTGGTTCAGGCCAAAGTCCCATCCAGTCCAACACTCTGTGTCACACAGTGGCCAGAAATACCAGGTGCCATCAGGAGGTCCACCAGTGGGGCCAGGACATTAGAAGCCCTCCCACTGTTGACCCCCCCCCAAGCACCAAGAAGACAGAGCATCACTTGCCCCAGAGCCCCTATCTATACCTTGTGGCTAATAGTCACTGATGGACCTCTGCTCCATATGCTTATCTAATTCCCTTTTCCCTGTGGCAGTGAATTCCATGTATTAATCACTCTTTGGGTGAAGAAGGTGGCACGGAATGTCTGTTTTTTCATTCGCTGCAACCAGGTTCATTTTGAACTACTGAATAGACTACAGGGTAATATTTATAGCATGACTCTTGTTTTGCTTTGAACTTATACACAGCCAGACCTTAACCTATGGCACAGTTAATTCTTCCCAGCCCCAGGAAAAATGCTGCTGGGGGATAGTAGCAATGAAACAGTTTTATTCATGCCTCTTCTGTATATCTTTTAAGCTTTCCTTCTTCTCCCAGGGAGCTTCCAATGAAGCTGATGGGCAGTAGATTCCAGATGGACAGCAAGGAATTAATTTATGGGATCTACTCAGCAAGGAATTAATTTGTGGGATTTACTGCCAGAGGATGGATTGCCAGGAGCATAGGTGGCAAAGAGTCAGCAGAGCCGGAGAGGTCCATCAATGATTTCTACCCATCAAGGATGAAAATAAGGTTGCTGGATCCAGGATGGGAGACTCCTGGAGATTTGGGGATGGAGCCCGGGGAGGACAGGGACCTCGGTGGGGTACAGTGCCATAGAGTCCACCCACCAAAGCATCCATTTTCTCCAAGGGAATTGATTTTTGTAGTCTGGAGATGAGCTGTAATTCCGGGGGATCCCCAGGTCCCACCTGGAGGCTGGCATCTCTAGATGAAAAGGAGCCCCCATATGCAGAGGCAGCAAACCTCTGAATACCGGTTCTAGGAGGCATCAGGAACTTGTACTCCAACAGGCAATTTGTTGGCCAAGGTGTTGAACAGGAATGCTGGCCGAGGTGGACCTCTGGTCTAATCCCAGGTGGCTCTTTATGTTCATTACAGGGAGGATAATCTAGCGTGCAAGCGTATGCGCGTGTGTGTGGTGGGTGGGTGGGTGGTGTGGGGGGAAAGAGATCTTCTTCTGGTGACCAGTGATGGTTCTTGCAGGCCTGCTCTCTAGCGGCGAATCCGCGTCAGATCCAGACCGCCGCCTCCCCTCGTCCAGCTCTTTGGGCTTCCCCTGCCGGCCGCGACCACTTCCCTTCGGGCCCCGCCGGCCAGGGGCTCCCGACCCTCTCCCCCTTCCTGACGTCCTCACGCGTGCGGGGAAATCCCAGCGGGGCGGGGATCGAACGCGGCGCGCCTTGAGTCACCGGGACGGGCGTGAGTTCCGGGCCGGGATTGCCCCACCGAGCCCGGGCTCCGGCGCCTTTAAAAAGCCTCGAGGAGGGATGGAGGCATTCAGAGCACGCCGCCGCCTGCAACACACGAAGCCACGATGAGTCCGAGCCGTCGAGTGTCCCTCGTCCTCTTCCTCTCCCTGCTAGCCGGGAGCCTCCTGCCAAGCCGAGGTGAGACTGCCCGAGAGGCACAGAGGGGAAGAAGCCCTCCTCCCTTCCGCCGGGAGGAGACCCAGGAAAGCGCAGCTCCCGCGTTCGTTCTCCTGCTGGGGGACTGGCGTGTGTGTGGGGGTGTGGGGCGTGTGCTTCTGATACGGAATGCGGGGCTCCTGGGAAACCAGCCTCACCTAAAACTCTCTAGTAATGCTGGATGGTTGTGGGCAGGTTGGCAGGAAATGCTCTCTGCACATCCTCAGAGGCAGGGCTGCCTTTGCCGATGGAACCAAGACAGGGAGTCCTGGAAGCTGTGGGATGGGTGGGCCAAATCTTTCTGGTGATACCTTGTGGAATCAGTGATGCCGTTGGCTATCTCTGTACAGAACCTAGCATCACAATTCGGTTAGTTCAATTTTTATCCCATTCTTCATCTAGAAAGTTCAGGGAGGCCTCTGTAGTTTGCTTTCTCCTTTCCTCGTTTTTTGTCCTTACAGCAGCCCTGTGAGGTAGGCTAGGCTGAGAGACACTGACTGGCCCAAAGTCACCCAGTGTGCTTCATAGCTGAGTGCGAATCAACCGAAGTCTTTCAGCTCCGAGTCCAGCACTAGCGTTTACTATAAAACACTCTCTTTTTAAAATTACGCAATGCTTTAAATTATACAGTTGCTTATTACAGGCTGCTGGAAGAAGTGGGCAAAGATTATTTCCTTAAAATAATATTGCTAACCTTAACCACATAGCCCTGTGCGGTAGTGATAGAAGCGCACTTTGCACATGCTTAGAAGCACACTCTGTTCACTGACACCTGTGTTTTTAACACCAGGCTCCTGGTTTGTGTTTCAGCTTACATTTAAATTTTTGGAAACTTTTCAATGTACTCGTAACACACGAAATCTGAGACACTCTTGAATTGGCTGACAATGTGACATGTTGAAAGCAAGGAGCGGTTTACATTCGAGGGATCTCAAGGGGGAAGTCCAACTATTTGGCAGCGTTTTTGAGCAGAACCAGAAGGGCCGTATTTAAAGGGGAAAAAAACCCCTAGGTTTTCTTGATTTCACTGGCAATTGTTGGGAAGTTAATGTGACATGTTGAAAGCAAGGAGCGGTTTACATTCGAGGGATCTCAAGGGGGAAGTCCAAATGTTTGGCAGCGTTCCTGAGGTTTTCTTGATTTCACTGGCAATTGTTGGGAAATTATAATGCTGTATCCGTCAGTGGAGAACGACCTTCTTGGAATTTTCCTGGGTCTCTCATCTATGTCAGCAGGTTCTCAAGGATTTATGTTCTGGAGAAATGGAGGTTTGGATTAGGCACTCACTGAGGTATCTGTTCTTTTCTTTCACAGCTGCGCCCCTGACCGGTGAACTGCGCTGCCAGTGTATCGAGTTGTTTTCAGGCAGGATCCCCATAAAGCGCTTTGCCCGACTAAATCTCTACCCTGCGGGACCTCACTGCGCCAACACAGAAGTCATGTAAGTGGGCCCTGGCTTGTACACTTCCTTTTCTTGTCACTCTCTACTGTATACAAGCCTTTTGCTTATCTGGTTGCTTTTCTTGTGTTCTCTAACAGAGCCACCACCACAGAAGGGAGAGAGGTCTGTCTGAATCCCGAAGCGCCTTGGGTCAAGGTGGCTATCAAAAGGATTCTGGAAAAGGTATGTACAGCAGATGTCGAGGGGAGTTGAGTGGGCTTCAGAATATGTCGTCTGCGATTACAAGACTTTGCACAGTGATAAGTAGTTTTAGGACTGCACCCTTATTTAGGAAAGGAAGTTTTGAATCCTGTCAGTCAAAGTATATTTCTGGATATTCCAGTAAATGGCTCTGGATAATATAATAGGTAGCTTGAGCAGCAGAGGTATACCATCAGTAGATATTGGCAACCTCTACGTGATAGAAGAGTATCTTGTTCTGGGTTTTTCCCTCCACCAAGAGAGCAGAGATATGGAAAGGGGCCATAAATTAAATATGGCCTCTTTCCATATCTCTGCCCTCTTGGTGGGAAACAAAAAATAGATTAAGACATGCCTGCATCACATACTTTATTTATACTCCACCTTTCCCCCCAGAGTGGCTTATATCATTCTTCTCTCCTCCATTTTCTCCTCAAAACAGCCCGATGAGGTAGGTTAGGCTGAGAGGGTGTGACTGGCCCACGGTCACCCAGCAGGCTTCCATGGCAGAGTGGGGATTTGAACCTCGGTCTCCCAGATCCTAGTCTGGCACTCTAACTGCACAAGTAGGGATTTAAGTATTGCCACCCTCCCCGTTCCATTTCCTGATTGTGTGCGGGCAAATAAGAGCAAATATAGATTAACAGCTAGACCTAGTGCCCAGCAAGAGAGCAATACAAGATTAGTGGCAACTTTTATTGAGGCTGGATGAAGTACCCCTAGGCCTTGGAGTAGAAAGTGCATTGTGTAGAAAGAGCAAACGTTGATGAGACTCTGCAGTTTCTAATATTTTTCACATGCAATATTGTATTCTGTTGCCTTGCAGAATCAAGAAAGAAAATGAGTCATGAAGGAAGCCACTAAACGGGGATGAAGAGGGAAGATACTGGTGATCTCCAGGAAGGAAGAAAATAACTGGGAGCCCATAGAAGGAAGAGCTGGAAAGTGAATCCTGCTTTTCCTGGCTTTGACCGCAGAGCCGCTGTTTGGAATGCTTTCCACTATTTATTACTGAGCCTTGTTTTTATGTATTTATTTTATATATTTATTCCTAACTATATTTATTCCTAACTTTTGAATGTCTGTGTCAGTTAAAGCACTTTGTGTAACGGAAGGATGTGGAATGTAGGTGACAGCGCTTAGATGCTGTATGGTTAATTCCAGTAGGAAGCTGTCTTGCACAAGCCCTAAAGGAGCCAATAGGAGCTGCCTCAGGGCACTATAGTGAAGCTGTTGGTTGCTCCTGTGGAGCTTGCATGGGAGGACGTCTTGCTAGATGGTGCCCAACAATGTTCCTTTACAAGTGGGTAAAGTGAATCACCTGGGAGAGAAATCCAGGAAAGTTGTCCTTGCTTGTTCCCCAGTGTGGGAGCCAAAGAGGTGGCTATTCAGAAAGCATTTGAGTTGCTGTATAATTTATAAGTATGAAATAATTACTTAAAATTATGTAATAATTTATGGCTGGGAGTGTTCCTGTTTGTCACCATGTATGATGATTTATGGGGCTTCTCTTGGTCTTATTATTTCAAGACTGTATTGGTACTTTCTGTTTTTATAATATGTTGAAGATATTGCAGTAATTTTAAAATGACTTGTTGGCTGGCCACTTTTTGGATTTTGGATCATAATATGGGATCATAATATTTGAATGAGATGACTATTACTATATATAATGGCTGTGGTCATACCTAAATCCAGACCTGGAGAATGTATTCCCTATATTAGGGTTCTGGAGCTAGATGTAGAACACTGAATGTCATGCCCTTTTATTCAGACCAGGGCAGACGATTGTGACTGTAGCACTTATACTAAGATGGGCTTACTTGGCTGATGTTGATGCTGCCTGCCAGTGGGGCTGATGTTGAGTTGGTTCCAGCCATCTTCTTCACAAGTTGAGTTCCCATCTTTACTACATCCCACTTGGCTTTGTGTGGTCAAAGAGACAGTCTTCCATTTTCCCCAGCAGAAAAGCTCATTCTATGCACTTATTGCATGTTATGTTGATGAGACGAGGGCAGCTCAGTGGGCTAGATCCATGTCTCAAGCCACAAGGTTCCCGGCTGAGGTCTTTCCTGATGTTGATTTGGTGTATCAGTAGGTGAGCCTTTCAGTTTCAAACAGCACCATCTTAGGCAGTGTTACAGCCATCTAAGTTCCATTGACCTTGACTTGGATGGCCCAGGCTCACCCAAGCTCATCAGATCATGGAAGCTAAGCAGGGTTAGCCCTAGTTGGTGTTTGGATGGAAGTCCTCCAAGGAAGTCCAGGGTCCCTATGCAGAGGCTAACAATGGCCAACCACCTCTGAATGTCTCTTGCCTTGAAAACCCTATGGAGTCGCCCAAAGTCAGCGGTGACTTGACAGCACTTTCCACCACCAAGTTCCACTGAAGTCATGGATTGAGAATCGTGTAACACTGTTTAGGATTGCGCTGGAATCTGGCACAATCGATGGGGAACACGATTCCAGGATAGTTAAAGGGGAAAGATTGCAATGGGCTTACAGGATAAGCATGGCTAATGGTAATACTCAACTGTGGCAAAGTTTTAATAAAAGATCACTTGCTTAGCATCTCCTAAATATTCCAGAGTTCTACTAAGTTACTGCTATTTATGCAGAAATGTTAAGAGCAGCAATGTTCTGAATCAACTCTTTCATTTTAAAAAATGTCTTCATTGTATGACATACTGTCAGAATAACTTTTCGGAATAAGTTTGCTATTTTTTTTTAATTAGAGGGGGAAATGCCTCAGTTTTATAAAGATTGTGCAGCACATGTTATACATGAAAATAAAATGCTTTTCTAAACTAAGTGGGTTGAACTGTTGTTTTTTGGGGGCGGGGCAGGTGCGTTATTGGATCTTTTGATTTAGAAATCTGGAACAATTCAAGTTACTGTGGGTACTTTTGCCCATTTATACCTGCTAGCCCAAACAACTCCTCTACGTGTGTGCATGTGTGTGTGTTTGAGCATATACACCCACACAACTATATATACATTTTAAACGTTGGGAGAAAAACAACAACACCTCGAACAGCACAGCTAAAGGAATGGCAGCAGCACAGTAAGATTCCCTCGGACAAGTCTTTTGATTTAGAAATCTGGAACAATCCCTGTAACTGCAGTACTTTTGCCCATTTATACCTGTTAGCTGAAACATCTCCTCTACGGGTGTGGGTGTGTTTGAGCATATACATTCACACAACTATATATACATTTAAAATGTTGGAAGAAGAACCACAATACTCTGAACAACACAGCAAAAGAAATGGCAGCAACACAGTAAAATTCCCTCGGTGAAGTCAGCCTTGGACCCCAAAGGCCTCATCCAATGCAAATTGCTTTCCCACCTCCCTGAAAGCCAACATGCAGGTATCTGGGATGATTTCAGCAGCACAGGCCTTGGTTTTACTGCGCAGGTTTTGGTGGCTTTAGGCCCAACTCACAAGCACTTAAATGTACGGAAACTGGCTGAGGGAGAGCCAGCATGGTATAGTGGTTAAAGTGTTGGACTGGGATCTGGGAAATCCAGGTTCGAATCCTCACCTGTGCCACGGAAGCTTGCTGGATGACCTTGGGTCAGTAACACACTCTCAGCAAAACCGAACACAGGGTTGTTATGAGGATAAAATGGAGGAGTGGAGAATGATGCAAGCTGCTTTGGGTCCCAGTTGAGGTGAAAGATGGGGTAGAAATAAATGAATAAATAAAAGTGCTAGGTGGGTTGGATTGTGTGCCCTATCAGAATTGTTAAAACCAAGGTCCATAACGAGATGCAAAAGTTTTTGAAGTGTACTTTTAAAAAGGAACCAGAAATATTACCTTTGGGCCTTAAAATGGAAGAAGTGAATATAATGGACATTGATGTGGTACTGGATCACAACGGCTAGAATGACTTATGCTCAGTGTTGGAAAAGAGCAAATACCGGAGATTTAGGAATGGATAAAGAAGTTGCTTTTTATGGTAGAAATGGATAAACTGACAAGAAAACTTAATAATAAAGAGGCAGAAGAGTTCTTTGCAGATTGGATGGACTTTAAAGAATATCTGGAGAAATATTGGGATGTGAAGAACAACCTATTTTGTTTGGACAGTTATTAAGAATAGAAAAACTCTGAGATTGTTAAATATATATAATAGTTGAATATATGAAGATATATGAAGATAAAGGTTAAAGAAAATGTTACCTGTTAAGCTTAGTTTAGTTTCAGAGGAAAAAAAAAAAGAGGGAAGATCTGGAGGGGGTGGGAGCACTGCGGGAAGCCAGAAGAAGGGAAGGGAGGATAGAGGGAAAAGGGATATAAAACGAATGAAGAAAGGTTTTAATGTTGGACATGTTGTTATATCCTGATAATAAAAGTTAAAAAAAAGAATGGTTAAAACCCAGCTCATTCAGGAGTAAACACTTGAAGCAGCCTTAGACTGCATTGGACCCTTGGCAGGCCAAGATTCATGTTGTCTGCTCTTAACTGTGGCTGTCCAGGGTCTCAGGTGGAGGTCTTTCTCGTCACCTCCTATCTGATCTGTTACCTGGTGATGCTGGGGATTGAACTCAGGGCCTTTCACAGGCCAAACAGATGTTCCACAGCTAAGAGTGGTTACACGAACAGTTGAGGAAGGAAGCTTTGTTTTTGTAATCAGAAAAAAAAACACTTTTTGTGCTTTGAAGAGAAGCAACAATCTTGGGCTAATTATATATATAATTTTTTTTTGGGGGGGGGCTGATCCTCCAAGGAGCAAAGGGCTATTGTTATTATTTATCATATGGCAGACTTACACGCAGAAGCCTATAATAATATAAAATTAACCAAACTGACAGTATGCAGTCAGATTGAGCAATTCCCCTTAAATATTAATATCTAAATTTTTCAGTCCACTCAATGGCAGCTGGGGAGAGTTTAGAGAGCTTCATCACATCTCCCTGGAAAGCAGTATGCTCACATTCCTGTGACAGATAGAAAATAGTTTGGTCAGCTGCACTGCAATCACATCTAGGTCTGCACATCTGCCAAAGCCTGTTTGTATTCTATTAGCTGTCTTCCATACTTTACGTAAGTCAAATCCTGTGGGCCAGTTGGGTGTAGTGGTTAAAAGCAGTGGACTCTAATCTGGAGAACCGGGTTTGATTTCCAACTTTTCCACATGCAGCTGGCTGGGTGACCTTGGGCCAGTCACAGTTCTCTCAAGAGCAGTTCTCTCAGAGCTCTTTCAGCCCCACCTTCCTCACAGGGTGTCTTGTTTTGGTGAGAGGAAGGAAAGGAGATTGTAAACCGCTCTGAGACTCCTAGTGAAGGGCAGGGTATAAATTGAACTCTCCTCCTCTTCCTCCCAGCCTTTCTTGTTGAGACTCAAGGAGGAGTAACACAGTCTTTCAAAAATGCAGTACAATACACACAACACACAATGTGTTAAGACTTGGTGAAAAGGCTGGGGAACAATGTTATAAAAACATGATAACACATCAAACTGTAGCGAAACTGGATTACAAAATTAGAAAACAACGGAATAAAAACAGTTATTTTATTTATTTACTCTATTGATACCCAACTTTTCTCCCCAATGGGGACCCCAAGTGGCTGATGAGATTCCCCCCTCCTCCATTTTCTCCTCAGAACAGCCCGATGACATGCTTTAGGCTGAGAGGGTGTGACTGACCCAAAGTCACCCAGCAAATTTCCATGGCAAGAGGGGAGATTCAAACCTGGGTTTCCTGTCCAACACTCTCACCACTACACTATCAATGTAATACAATAAACCGTATGATGAAAACTGCCTAATATTATCACAACCATTCAATCCTATTTCATTTATAACCACCACCACCTGCGAAAAATGTTGCATTTCAAACATTCTGCCAAAAGTGTGGATTCATATACTTGGAAGGAACCTCCAGGGTCATCTAGTCCAGCTCCCTGCACAATGCAGGAAATTCACAAATACCTACCCCCCCCTTTCCCAGTGATCCCTGTTCCATTGGCAAAAAACCTCCAGGATCCCTGGCCAAACTGGCCTGGAGAAAAATTGCTTCCTGACTCCAAAGTGGTGATCCAGATAAGAAAAGGCCACAAGAACTAAGCACTGATGCAACCTGTTGTGCAGCGGGTTCGACACACTGAAGAATCAGGAAACAGTGCGATTGTCAGCACATGTTGACTAGTACACAACATAACAACTCAGGCGACCAACTGTATACAGTCCCCGTGGACCACCCACAGGTCCCATTGGAGGGTTTAAACTTCCCGCCAAGGTTTCTATTGGTGACCGCTAGAGGTTTCAGGATCCTAGTCCCTATTGTCTACTGAGAGCCAAGCTCTAGAATAAGTCCCTGACGCCTAGTGGCGGTCAGCAGACATAACACAACCCTTCCTGCCCTCACTCTTATGATCTGCCTAAGTTCACAGAATCAGCACCGCTGTCAGAATGGAAGGCTTCCTAATGCCCCAAACCGAGCTGCCTGGAACTGGAGGAGGTCATGTTTCCTTCTTATTCCTTCCTTCTTATTCCTGTGCGGTGCTTTCATTCCCAACAGCAAGGGACCTGGTGACCGAGCTGGTAAAGAATGCAGTTGGGCGTGCAGTACTTTCTGTATCTGATGGCTCACCTGTCCCTTCAGCATCACCTCTTTCCATCTCTGAGATAATGGGTTGCAGGGGGCCCCATTCCCAAGCCGGAGGCGGGAGGCAGCGACGGACCATCCAGTATGAGGCTGTGGCTGTAGCATGCCCCAGCACTGGATTTGTCAATACGCTACCATCACAGGAATTATCTGTGAGTCTAGCCTTAATAGCTGTCTGACGTATTGCGACATACTGTCTGCCATATTGCTGGAGTTCCCTCTAAGCTGAGTTAGTGTGAACTAGCTCACAGTTTTTTAGCCTCTGGCTCACACATTTTTGTCTTAGCTCAGGAAGGATGCCTCCAGAGCAAACAGATCTATGCAGTAGCCAAATCGCTCGCTCACAACTTTAATGCCAGTAGCTCACAAAGTAGAATTTTTGCTCACAAGACTCCACAGCTTAGGGGGAGCATTGTGCTGGACATAATCCTTCAATCAGCAAAAGCCAGCTGCTTGATAGGAAACTTGATAGGAAACCAGGAACTGAAATTGCCCCAGGTAAATAAGTGGTGGGACCTATGGAACATCAAGAGATAGCTGCTGCATGTTTTACACACTGCTGCAAAACTCAAGAAACAGACCACACGTAAAGAAGGTGCATTGTGGGTT